GAGCCTATTATTGCAACCACTGTGTTAATCCATCTCATGGAAGGTACCCTCTTCCTCTGCTTTGCTGCCCCTCTACTTTTCCAAGCATGACGCCTTTCCCTAGGGACTGGTCTCTCCTGACAGCATGTCCCAAGTACGTAAGATGAATATTCACCATTTCTTCATCTCGGATACCTTGACCTTAGTAGAGTATTATTAAACATAGTTAAAAAAAATCACAAAATAATCTTAGGGCAGAAAAGGGTTACATTATAACTACTTTAAAAGTGAGACAAGAGAGCCAGAGAGAAGAGCATCTTTAAGGAAATATTGTCTCATTATTCATTTGGTATGATGAAAAATTGATCATGTACCTGTCCTTAGAGCAAGACTACGACAGGCAGCGGGATCAAGACTTGTTCCCCAGCCACTGGACAATAACTGAACATGCACTTGTGGTAGATCCCACAGCTGGTAGTTTATCATTTCTCAGGCATTGCTCAGATTCACAAAGACAGTATTTTCTTCACCACACAAATTGTTAAACAAACAAACAAACAAAAAGAAATTGCATATTTGCTGTTGGAATTTAGGAAAGAGACCTGCCATGGGAAAGTTGCTGAGCTAAAATACAAAAATACAAATGTGCGAATACAGGAGACTTGATATGTACAACCACATATACTTAGAGTTGATGGGCATCAAGGCACCTTCCAAGACTAAATAACTTTCTGTTTATTGTCTATTTATTTTTAAACTGTGTGTCTTCATAAATTCAATGAATTCTGAATAAATGGAATAACATTTTTTATAGGTTAGCCGAACAAATGGCTGGGGTCTCTGGTACGAGTGCTAGTGGAAGAAGCCCATCCAGTCAGATTCATGCAGTTATATAAACTACCACCAGGTGGAAGCATGTGTTAAAAATGGGCTAGGAGCTTCCCAGGAGGCCAGGTTACAGGGCTACTCACTGAGCTGGGATCTGCAAGGCAGGCAGTTGGAAAAGGCGGGCCTTCTACTCCCACACAGCCTCACAGCCTCAGACTCACAGTGCTGCCATGCCCTATAGGGTTGCTATGAGTTGGCATCGACTTGGTGGCAGCAAGTTTGGTTTGGGTTTGAGCAGCTTTCCACTAAACCCTAGGGCAGAATATACAGGCGGGCACTATATATAGACCCTGGGTTGCAATGGGGTGAAATATTCTTTGCTTCACAACTTTACAGTTGATAAAACTCAATTATTTTGTTTTTTGTAATCTCATCATGTTGATATTTTCTAGCACAATGTTGAGTTTTTAAGGGGATGTTAAACCTTCCTCCCTATCTTTTGATGGCAAGCACATTAAATTTAAGCGTATTTTCAATACAGGCTATCACTCAGCTAACAGCTCATTATAATAGTCATAAGGGATCTGTATTAGGGGCCTATATAGAATTTTCCTACAAGTATATAAATTTCACAAACATATTTTCAACTGTGGTGAAATAAAATTATTTACTTATCACTCTTCCATCCATGTCTTTTTAACTCCCACCAAATGACTGGGTGTGACTTTGGAAATATGAGGGGGGTACCAAAAAAACCAGAAAAATGCTGTTGGGTGGAGCTTTTGTAGTACACAATTTTTCCCGCTAGGTGAGCATCAAGCAACCTGCTCAGAGTTAGTGCACCCAGTGGCATTGCCTGGGAAGGTTCTCTCTGGTTGGTAGACTTTTTTTGTAAAAGCAGTTTCGCTCGAACCTCGTGTTTTGTGATTGCCATTTTAAGAAAACTGAGTGTGGCTGTGAAATCTTGTTTCCTGCTCGGGAAATATGGTGCAGGAACTGTTGCGATGTTGAACACTGCTTACAAGGAGAGCGCTATGGGAAAAACTCAAGTGTACAAGTGGTTTTCTCGTTTCAAAAATGGCGAAATGTCAACTGATGACAAACCTCGTTCTAGACGTCCATCAACTTCCCAAACAGATGAAAATGTGGACAAAACTCATGCCCTTGTGCTTGAAGACTGATGAGGGACCAATGAAGAGATGGGGAAGTTATCTGGACTGTCT